GTTTTGTCCTAAAATCATGGGAGCACCTATAACGGAAACTCATAGATTGAATCCTAAAAGTGAGATATTTGCATGAGTAATTTTACCTCAAATGATCTTAAAAATTAATCAACTCTCTTCACTACTCAAAGGAAATGATAATATACCAAAACCATATCCCCTTATATGATCATGTACCTCAAAATGGCCTAGACCAAGGCAAACCATAATTCGTGGGTTTTGAAAAGGAGAAGGCATGGGAGTCACAAAAGCACGGGGGCATAAGAAGATCATTTTCATTCATTCAAGATTTGAAAGAAGTACGAGAAGGCACCAAAAAGATCAAATTTAAAGACCAAGGTTCAACCTAAATTCACCTAGAACTTCTCCTGGTACCATTTATAGCATGAATATATGACGGATAATAAGTTTAAGTGTACTCCAAATAAATATGTTTGAAACTTATTTTGAATCCTAATCCAAGATCTAACTCAATGATAAATTCATTATGAACATTATTTTCACGATGGCTTTTGATTGAAAAAAATAAATAAATATGACTTCTTATCCATGAAAACCAAAAAGTCAAAGCATAAAGAAGAAAACTTGAGAGTTTGAAATTCTGAAATGAAAGGAACACACGAAAAGCATTTTTTAAAATTGAAGGGTAAAAGTGAATCACAAAATGGTTTCTACCACTGGATGCTTCTTAGTTTACAGAAAGAATTCCATAAAACTTGACTCCCTCTTGTTGGTTAAAGATATCCACGCCTTATCTTCCTTGTTCAAATCAATAAACTCAATATTTGAAATCATCTTGTGCATTCACAAAATGCAAACCATCAAAATGATCAAATTCTAAATTCAGCCAATTGAAAATTCTTAGTTTCTATAAGAAGCATCATCGTTGACATTCCCTCACGTAAGTGACGGTCAATCCACATTTCTGAAAGGAAAGCAACCATGACACCGGGTCAAATTCATTAGCACACTTAAAACCATGATTTCCACCTAAACAGACTTTGCATTCTAGAGATTTCAGTCCATAACAATTTCTCCATTCAGTTTATAGCAGTCATGAATCAAGCATGGAAAATTTAGAACTGTAGCGAGATAATTGTACTAACATCATAAAAACATAAGGAAATGTGTCCTATCATAAAAAGATATGGAAATCTCTGACCATTTTCCCATTTGTCTGCTTCCGGATGACAATAGATGGGGCCCGATCCTGTTCAGACTTGACAACAAATGGCTTAGAGTGTAGGATTTTAGGAGATTGGTGGAAATTGTATGGAGGGGTTTGAAAGTTGAAGGGAGTGCAAGCTATAGGATTGCAAAAAAAATTAAGGCCTTGAAGGAAGTTATTAAAAGGTGGATGAAAAAAGAGGAAGGAAAAATTGCAGAGGGCATCAATAATAGATCGAAGGAAATTGATGACAATGACAGATTGGAGAAGGAGGGAGAGATTTCGGAGTTTGACATGGCTAGAAAAGAAGGTTTTATGGAGAGGTAGCAAAATTAATGCATTTGGAGGGAATCTCTTGGAGACAGAAGGCGAGGGAGAGATGGGTGAAGGAACGAGACCGTAACACAAGATATTTTCATTGCTTGGTTATCTCCAAAAAAAAAAATTCATTGCTTGGCTAGTTTCAGAAGAAGATGCAATTATGTTGAAGAACTGTTTATCAATAACCAATGCTTCAGAGGTAATGAGGACATAAGAGAACAAGCCAAGGGATTTTTCCAACAATTGTATGGAGAGAATGCTGGTAGAAGGCCATAGTTGTTTAATTTACATTTCCAGGAGTTGAGAGATGTTAGCAAAGTTGATTTTTTTTTTTTTCGAAATAAAAAGTATGAAATATATATTAACATAGTACCGAAAAAGCGTTACCACCCACATATACTTTACAATAGAGTTAGCATATCTATGATGTTCCCAAAATTCTCATCACTAATAATGTCATGACCTAATAAAATAAATTCAAAATAGTGAATCCACCTATCCCTTATTATGTACACACTACTCTCAACACCCTCAAAAACTCTAAAATTTCTTTCCAAGTAATCCAAAAAACAATCAATGGAATTAGATTAGCAATATTACTCTTTACATATAAACCGTCCCAAGCCCAAATTTCCATACTAACCAACCCAACCATCATCCACTCAATCCCCAAGAGACCATACACCATATACCATAGATTGTAAGCCATAGGACACCACAACAGTAAGTGATTACACGTCTCCTCTGCTTGAAAACAACCGTAGCATCCATTCACCAAAAACTGTCCCTCTAATTATGAGTTTATCAATAGTTAAAATCTTCTCCAGACATGCCTCCCAATAGAAAAAAATGATATGCAGAGGAGCCTTGGTTTTCCAAATTTGCATAGCCGGAAATTGGAGTTGTTGTTTCCA